CCCACCCAAAACAAAACGCGAATTTCAAAGCTAAATCAATTTCAGTCTCCCTCCTGGGGCTCCAAGCCCACATACTCCTTCGCCAAGTCCCCCAGGAAACCCTCCATCACCTTGCCATTCACCACCACTTCCTTGCAGTCCAGCAATACCCAGAGCATCCGCCCGGGCATGGTTCCATTACCCGTAATGTTGTGCCACTTGTGGGCGGTCGCTCGCTGGACACTTATGTCGCCCTGGCGCATAATGCGCTCCTCCCCGGAGTCGAGGATCAGCTTGAACTCGCCCTCAACAACGATGCCATAGTCGATTGACACAGCCCGGTGCAGGGGAGACTCGACATTCGGCGCGAAGTCGATCATACGGACGACGGAGCCGTTGTGAATATGCAGGCCAGGCTAAACATTTGCGTCAGTCACGTTGTGGAGAAAAGGTAGGAAATTCATAGAGTGAGGCATGCCTCCGTCTCAGCCGCATATTTGAGGTCGGCTTCGTCGTTCAAGTCGACAGGGGTCTCCTTGGTCGAATAGAGGATGTTGGCAACCGCCTGCTGCTCGCCCATGACTCGGTGGTGCGCCCCGCAGTCGGTGCTGAGGAAGACAGACTGGCCATCCAAGTTGTGGCCGGTGATGTGGCGGACAGTTTTCCGCAAGCCGGGTGCGGGGAAGCCGTTTAAGACATAGCCTGCGCCTACAGGAGGCTCCGCGGGAAAGCCAGATGCCATGGAGTCTCAAGGAGAGCAGTGATGGGGGAATGGATGGAATAGATTGTTCGCAGTTTGTTTGACCGGAGGTAACAGATAACTATACAGATACTTCTACCAAAACATGTGCACCTGTAGCTTTTAAAGCTGAAGGCTTTCACAAAACCACTACCCATCTAGATTCACAAAAATCTCGGTCTGCCTTACTCGCTGACAGACGATCTGTGATACCTTGGCTTGACAGTAAGGAAACTTATGTCATGTAGGGCTGGCCGTCATCACTAACCTTGACAAGTGAGACATCGAAGTGTTATATTGTCGAAAATAATGAGCATTCTGGATGGCATGACAAATATTTATACCCGATGATGTCAGCTGACTGCAGCTGAAGCAACATAAGGTCATCCTGTGCCTGAATTGATTTTTCTTCACCTGCCTGTCTGTATGGAACTGTCAGCTTACATGTAGTAGTGTGAAATGTTCTACTCAGACTTACTTGAGTTTCTACTGAAAAAGGAGTTAAGTAAGGATTGTGCTAACATCAGGTCTATTAGATTAATGTTCTATCTCCTGCTTTAAAATCCTGCAAGTTTAATTGATATAGAAAGTAATAATTATTAATAAGTTTGATAAATATCTATTCTACGAACTGGAAACTTGTTTTCTTTTTTCAACTTTCCAATTCATTTGGTTTTTATATACCTACACACCGGTCCATCCCTATAAGCTGACATGTTGAAATCACCTGAACCCAATATCACCTCCACAGCGATGATATGTAGAAATAACCAGCGACTTTATCAAAAATAGCCCTAAGACAGGCTTAAGACATTCCCTCTTCTGGGAATGATAACTCCAAGGTAGGCTGTGCCGGAGCATAAGCTTAAAGTACTAGTCGGTTTTAAGGAGCACCTCCTTAAGCATTTGTAGCCTGGTAGAGCAAACCAAGCTCCCTGGGGTTGTTAGGCAACGAAGTGCATCTGCCAGATAAGTGGCAAAGAACTAGGAAAACAAGTGCATTAGACGTATGAAACTGTTCAACAGCATGATGGAATATAGAAAATCAGACCAATTGTCTAAATAAAGAAGTGTCCTTACCTGCTCGCTGACTGACTAAAGGATTGACCATTTGTCGGGCTAACAGTGTGACACCCCAATCAAATCCTTCCCATTGGGGTGACATGTCAGCATAATATAACAATTCTCTTGTGTTCTCCTGAAAGGTCGAGGTGCCTGATAGCGAGGATGACCATTACGGGTCAGCGCCGGAGCCCGGAGCAGCGGCACTGACTATCCGTCTTCAAAGAATCGAGCATCTGAACATGGCGGGATAAAACCCGAACAATACAATATCTGAAAACGATTGTAGGCTCAGCCAAAGTTTATAAGGTCCGTCTAGGAACAGATCAGCCGGGGATAACACGCAATCGACATCGACAGAGTTGAGCCCCAATGAGTCACTTACTCAACATGCGGTACTCTGGATTTCTGACCCTTATGTCTCTCTGGCTTGCAGAGGACAGTCAGGCATCAGCGGCGATGTCAACGACGAATCTGCTGTCCATCCTCAGCCGTGGAAACTGGTCGACTGGTACTGTGTTGTCCGCTCCAGGGTCCACCGACTTCACCGATGCCACTGCCCGATGGGATGTGTACCGGCCTCCGAACTATGCCGCGGCGCTGTCCATTCACTCTGAACAAGACCTGATCACAGCGGTGAGTGAATTTCGATTGCAGCCATCAAGCTAGATGGAGACTCACTCAGCGGAGCTAGGTGAAATTGTCGACAGCCAACAACATCTCGTTCCTAGCCACCGGGGGCCGTCACGGCTATAGCATTACGTTTGGGAATCTCCAAAATGGCCTGGCCTTGGACTTGAGCCCGCTAGACACGGTGGCAGTTGACGCCGCTGCCGGCACCTTGACCATCGGGCCTGGTGTGACCTTCGGCGACGTTATGGACCCCGTCTACGAGGCGGGGTATCAGATCCGTGAGTCTCGTCCCATTATATCCAGGAATAAGGCGTAGCTCTTACTGACCGACCCTGGCACAGAGACCGGCACTTGCACATGTGTCGAGATGATCGGCGCCACCATCGGGGGCGGCATCGGGCGGTTGCAGGGGACGTACGGCCTGGTAATCGATGGGCTGCTGTCTGCCCGGGTAGTCACCGCCGCTGGTGAGGTCCTCGAGGTGTCGGAAAACTTCAATGCCGACCTGTTCTGGGGCATTCGCGGCGCTGGGGCTAACCTGGGTATTCTCACGTCGGCCACCTATCAACTTCATCCTTTGACCGGCAACTACACCAGCATCGATCTAATCTTTCCTGCCAGCCGGAACGTGACATACTTCACTGCCTTGGAGAACTTCAACACCTCCGCGCACTGGGCTATCGAGACAGAGATCCTCTACAACGCCGACATCAACGGTGTGAGTTCATCCCCTCCTCCCTCCTGGGAGAGGATTATGCAGTCCCATAATCATCAGATCCTGGACTGGCTAACCATCCGCACACGTCCCTTCAGCCCGAGATTATCGCCAGTTACGTGTACGAAGGGGATCAGGAGGAGGCCCTGAAGCTCCTGGCGCCAATACTCGACGTCGGCCCCTCGTTCATCAACGTGACTGAGGTCCCGTGGAATGAACTGAGCGCGATCGCCGCCTTTGCCACCGACGCCGAGGTCTGCGAGAACGGCAGCATTTACGACATCTACGGGGTCAACCTGCGTACGCTAACGGCTGCCACCTGGATTGAGGTCTTCGAGATGATGGTCAACTTCTGGGCGGCTTAGACGGAGGGCCAGTCGTCCAGTGTCGTATTCGAGTCGTGGGCCAACGAGGCGGTGGTGGCCGTGGCCGACGAGAAGACCGCATATCCCTGGCGCGACACCACGACTTACGTGTAAGATAGCCTTCCCTCCCCCCAAGGTGCGCAGGAGAAACTTGACCGCTAACTGTAGCATGATGCCTTCTGTAGTATGCTCCAGTTTGTTTGGAGTACGTCGGACAGCAGCGTCGAAGCTCCATCCATCGCCATGGCCCAGAAGGTCCGCGACACTCTCATCGAGACATCGGGGTACGACGACCTGGCGGTGTACGTTAATTATGCCAACGGGGACGAGGCGCTGGAGGAGATGTACGGGGCTCGGAAATTGCCTCGCCTGGCGGAGCTGAAGAAGAAGTACGATCCCAGCAATGTCTTCCGATATAGCAATCCTTTGCCCACCGCCTATTCGTGACCAGAGAAAAGAGGAGATCCGACCAGAGTAGGAGAGATGAATGACTGTACAAAGCGTTGTTGGAGTATATATGGATGTATGAATATAATTCAAGGACGAAGTACATTCAGATGGGAGTCCCCGGGTTTTTGATCCATACCCACACGTCGAATTCGTACGGTTTCGTCGCTGCCTTTCATGCTTATACTCGTTGATCAGTTTAACTTTGGCACAACTTATTGCGTCTGCTTATGAGTTAGCACTCAAGACAGCCCATGCCTGGCGACTGCACTTTGTTATCAAACTAATGACATATCAGGGTGCCAGTTGGTCTTCTCCGGACCTTTCCGGACTCGCAGAAATATTAACGGTCGAACTGGAGTACGATATTCTTGTTCTTTGCAGAACTGGATGATCCTCTTCATCATATAGCCTAGCTGCAAGCAGTCTACGGATTTGCTTCTACACTTTAGGCCAAGAGAATTGCATTCACTTTAATACCCCACCGTTCTCATCCGCCAGCCGTCTATCGACTAGCCTGAGAGTTTGGCAACAACCGCCCCCCAAAGAAAATCTCCACTCGGGAACCTAGAACTGGGAGGACGAAGGGACGGGCGCTGAAGCTGGTGGTTTCCTGGGAAGATCAATATTGCCAGTGCTGTCTAGCACGTTGGCCAGGAACTCGCTAATGCAGTTTAATTTAATATATTTTCTTTCTTCTTTACTATTAAATACTAAGTTGACTTATAATAAAAATAAATACTTAGATTTCTATTATATATATCCACGTAAAAGGCTTTTCCTCTTAATGAAAATATATTATTTAATTATATTATATACTATAGATTATTAAATAATCTTATAATCTGTCTGCTAAGCCGACTGATAGCTGACTTATATTTATAGGCGACTTATTTTTAGTAAAAATATTTTTATTTGATTGGCTTTTTAAATCTAAATAATTTGTCTTTTTTATACGAAATATTATAATTCCGAGAGGTGAATAATATATAAAATAAACTAATTTATCTTAAAACTAATATTCTTAGTTTTTTAAATATAATAAAATATTTTTTTAAAAATAGTTTAATACTTTTTATACTAGTCGATATTATTATCTAGTTATATATTTTTTCAAATTCTTTAACCTTTGATATCAGATTTAGAATAATTATAATAATATAAATATAGTTTTGTATCTAATAGATATAATAGTAGTATTTTCAGAGTTTTTAATATATATTTGATAAATTTTTAAAATTTTTTTAAAGTATCTGTTTTTATACTTGTCGGTTAATTAAATAACTTAAATAATTTAAAAAATTATTCTAGATATTATAAATTTTATAAACAGTAGGCCTATTATTTTTAGATAAATAGAATATAAAAAAAAATATAAAAGCTTAAAAAATATTTTATCTATTTCTACTTAATTATAGTGGAATAAAAATAATTAATATTATTATAATTATAGTACTGAATAAAGTTTTAAATTAATTAATACAATTTAAATATCCGGTAAATTATAAGATAAGTTGAGTTTTAGTCGATTTTATAATAAAAAAAAATAAAAAACTAAGTTAGATTTAAATTATTAAATAAGCTGGAACTTCTTCTAATATTAAAAATTAATATATATGAATTATATAATTTTCTAAATCTATAATTAAAAATTAGTATAGTTAATAGAAAGATCTTAAAAGCTATTTATAAAAAATTTATATAAATAATTTTCAGGGATATTCTATATTAGTTTTTTATTAATTATTTCTAAAACTGGAGATTATTTATATTAGTTTTTTATAAACAGCTTTTAGAATATATTTTTTTCAGAATTTTTAAGATATTAAAGAAAATTTTAAAATCTTTATTATTATTCTTTTATATATATTTAATAGTACTATTTAAAACCTTAATCCCGAGTTTCTATAAAAAAATATTAATTATAAACTAAATTATATAAACAAAACAAAAAATATAATACTAATTTCAAATAATCTTTAAAAAATTAAAATTAATTAAAATATTATAAAGCTGAATATTTTAGCTAAACTAAATCCAAAACTTAAATAAAATTATATTAAATATAAAACTATTATTATTAATATTATTAATTATTATATTTAATATCTAATAAAAAAGATTATATTTATATAAAACTAATAAAATAATTATAGCTAGATTTTTATTAATATAAAATCCAGATACTAATCGGAAATTTAGTAAAATTTTATAATAATTTATATCTTTTATTAAAAAATATCTAATTAAAGTAAGAAATATTTTCTAATTAGAATTAGTTTAGTAGTTTATTATAATTAATATATATTTAATATCTGAAAACTTTAATAACATCTCTATATATATTTTTTTAAGTAATTCTAAAAAATATTTTTTAATTTATACTTAATTAAAAAAGCTTAGCTTTTAGTAGAAAAATAAAATAGCTAGATTAATTATTTATTGAAATTGAATATATTTAATTGTCCGGAAAAATAGATAACAAATAACTATAAAATATAAGATTTAATTTTAAAAACTCTGTTTATTATAGATTATAGAAGTTTAGAAAAAAATAATTATTAAAAAAAATTTATTTTAAAAGAATAAAAAAATATTTATAATAACTTTTTATTTAGTATTATAACGGGCGATGCTAGGGATATTATAGAGGACGGCAGAATGTTACCGCTTAACATACTGCCAATAGAATAGTTATACTTGTATTCAGTATAGCTAGTAATTAGTAATAATATAATAATTATCTTTCTCTATATTATAACTACTATTATAATAATAGTATATTTATTACAGACCAGAAGTCTGCTTTTTAAAGCTAACTAATAATTTTTAATATATTAAGCTTGTTAATATATATAATATTGAGCTTATTAATATACTTTATATTATTATCTATAATCTGTGTTATATTATGCTTTTTTCTAACTTCAGTATTAATTTCTATTTTATATTATATTTTGTTTTTTATTTGCTTATCTGTTTTATTCTTTATTATATTGTTAATTTTATTAATATTAATTTATTTATTTTATTTATATTAATTTCTTGCTAAACCGCTTATTCTATTTTTATAAAGACCTAAAACTATAATCTTATTTATATTATTTTTAATAAAAACTATTTATTTATTTCTCGCGTCTTCTACTGTACTAAGAAATACGACTACTATACTCTAAAAAGTAGATATTATATTTAATCCTATTTTTAATTTATCTGCTGCTTCTACTATATGTAAATAATTTTACTACAGCTTCTTTTTTACTATACTGATTTTATTAAATTTTATAGAACTGTTTTTTTTTCTATTTCCGGTTGTCTGTAAATAGTTGTTATTAATATAGATGTATTAATATTATATAATAAACAATATTATTTAAACTAAATAAATTAACTATATAAAAACATCTTATAAAACTTGCTTATTATATTTATTATTTTTATATCTATTTCTTTGCTTTCTTTTCTAAAGATTTTAACAGTAATATTTTTTATTAAACCAAATATATTACCGAATATATACTATTATTCTTTTTAAGTATATTAGTTTTCTATTTTATTAACTAAAACTTGTATTAGCTAGATATTTATAAAACTATAATTAAATTTTTTAAGCTCTTTTTATCTTTTTTCTAGCTATTTGTATATATTATATAGCTTAAATTCTACAACAGTATTGTTAATCTTAAACTATAATTTATAAAATCATTTAAATAAATTATATTAAAATTAAAAGTAGTATTTATTTTATTAACTATATCAAATATTTCTACTACCGACGCTGTTAATACTGTTATATCAGCTAAAAAGCCTACTATTCTGGGTTTTTTTTAGTTATCTAAATTTTTATAATTTTTAATCAACTCTGTACTAGTAACTACAATTTAATATATACTATTATATAAATTTTTAAATTAAATAATAGCTAGAACTAGTATTATCGGTGATAATAGTAATAATACTACTTTATAAGTATCCGCGGAGATTTTAAATAAGTAAAATAAATATCCTCTCTTCGGTCTATTTTTATTTTTTTAATCTAACTTTACCGAACTGCTCTAAGAAATAAAGAAAGTCTAAAACAGTATTAAAAATATTTAAAATATTATTTATAAAATATAGATATAGTTTATTAATATTAACACCTGTTTTAAAACAGTCGAATAATATTAGAATAAGAGTTAGCTAAGACAGAAAGACTAAGACCAACATAATAAAAAAGATTATTGTAAGAAAAATAAAGAATATTATTATTACTATAAAGAATACTGTAATAAAAAATATTACTGTAAAAAAATAATTATTAATAAAATAATAACTAACATGTGACTAAAAAGCATAATTATATAATATAAAAAATAAAGAAATATCTTATAAAAGCTCTTTATTTTTACGGCTGCTAAAATTAAAACTCCGATCCCAGTAACCATAGTTCTAATATAAATAATTTACAATATTTCTTAGAAAATTGAAGAAATAAAAAAAATAATTATAAATCTTTATTGGATGTATTTTATAATAATAGTTATTAGTAAAAAACAAATAAGATTAGTTATTTTTAGTCTAATTATCCTAATTATATAACAGTAGCTAGTATAACCAAGCATTCTAATAAAGAATTTAGAATCTACTATAAAAATATCTATTTCTTTATCGAGTATATCTGTAATATTATAAACTATAAAAAAAAGCTATAATTAAAGCTAATATCTAAATCTGTCTTATAAATACTACTCTGTAATAATATTATACTAAGATTACTAAAAAAAAATATATAATCTAAGAGTATAATCTTAAAAATAGCTGGCTTGCTAAACTATATAATTACTTTAAGCCAGACTTTTTTAAAGTTTGTTAAAAGCTTAATATATTATTATATATTTATAACAATATCCGCGATGGTTGGTTAATCAACAAATTTACTTAAAAAATACTAGTTTAAATAAGAGCAGTCTATATTACTAATATCTTTAAGTATTTTTTTATAATTTAGAATTATCTAG